TAACTAAGTAAGTTGTATTTTAGAAATTTTGGCATGCTATTCTGAGGATGTTTAATAATACCTTGCAAAATAAGAAAAATATACATACATGTCTTGGAATATAGCCTAGACATAGGTAAATTAAGGAAGGTTTTCTTTGAGTTAGGGAAGAGGGTGAGCTTGAGAAGAACAGATTAATGATGGGAGAAACTCAAGTTTTCAGAAGCAACTATAGGACCAGACACGAAATAGGTGCTGACAATTAAATACTACTCATCCATGCAATATAAGTAAAAAATAAAGTTCTGTCATTTACAGCAATGTGGATAGACCAAAAATAATAGACCTAGTGAAATGTCAGATGGAAAAAAATACACAATGTGAGATTTCACTCATGTGTTACATAAAGGAACAAAACGAGTAAATTCATGCATGCAAGGGAGGTCCAGAGCCCACTATTTGGGATGCTGTCTATGTCGATGCATGACAATGGAATCTTATTTAAGTTGTAGAAAGTTTGTTTTCAAATGACCTATGGAACAGCAAGTACAAATTAAATAAAATGTGATCATAAATTATAGCAGCATAAAGCCCATTGCACTTGTGGCTAATAAGAAATATCACTTGAGTAATTTTTTGAGCTCTGTTTGTTTTGATCATGTCATTATTTTTCTGTATTTGTACTGCCAGCTTACCCAATTATTTTTCATCTTAAGGCAATCAAATATTTCTGTATTCAGAATAAAATTAATGAACCTGCTCCTGATTTCAAATATTGTTTTTTCTTGTTTCCTCAAATAAACGAGCAGGAATCATTCAGATGTATCTGATGTAAGGCTTAGTATGTCAGTAATTTGTGTTTTCCTTTTGAAATGAGAACATTAGATGAGGAAAAAAAATCAACTGTTCTCATTTATGTAAACAATAATATAACAAGCTCTAATGGCTTGGCCAGAATGGTGGTGATGCCAGAAAAAAGCACTAAAAGATACTGAAGTTGTATAAAATTTCAGGATTCCAACCCCTGGCAAAATTATTTTCAATTGATGTTAACATGACTATAAATATAATCTGAGGATGTATCTACTCATATCAATAAGCTGTTTTCAGTATGCACACTGAAACTCTGGTTACAGCTGAGATCTTTTCTCTTACACACTTGTAGGTGTTTTTAGTTACTGCAGATACACAGGTAATGATGAAATTCTTTTGAGTACTAGTGAACCAACTAAACAGCACCAAATTTTCAGTGTAATTGTCCATTTTCCTTCTCTGTTTTGAAAACAGTATCTATAAAGGAGAAAATATGAGGCAAAAATCTCGAAACCTGACAGAGTGCATGTTTTCCCTTGAGAAATGGGATGGCCCTACCAGCTCGACATCTGTTTTGTCATGACCAAGTTCTGTGAAAACTGACCTCTCTTCTTTCACCAGCACCTTATCCTATTAAATAAGATCTGGAGTTATTTAACAGTGAGGTGCCTTTGGAATATTGTTTCCCATGGGAATGTCTTAGAAATTGCTTAGTAAAAGTATTGGAAAATATTTATTTTATATCTGACCTATTGAGTTGATTTTTTTCTCCTGCAGCTTACAGTATATGATGATATTTTATCATTTATCTTATTCATTTTTCAAGCAGAAGACTTGCAAGTCTATATAGGAAACCGTCACATGCTTTCTAAGGGTTGTCACTTCTAATAGGAATCAAATTTGTTTTATAGACTCAATTCTGTGAGTTTTTTTTTTTTTGAGCACATACCCAGTAGCAAAACAAAAGTTTGAAATATTATGAAGTAATATAAAGTATATGAAATTCTGTCACTGTTATGAATGTGAGAATGTTTTCATAACCTTTGTAGCCCAAGGATACAGAATTAGAGAGTGCATATTTTCTTTTGTTCATTGTAGGTTTAAATTTATCTTTTTAAGTATCTAAATATTACATTCCATTTTCTAATGGACTCTCTACCCAGATAAAAGGCCTATGTGTATGTATTTACTATGCCTTGTATTGATTCTAACTCGTACCTTACCTGCCAGAATATGTCTTCTTACATGCATATTTTTCTTACATAAGTAATAGCCACTGACGCTAGAGGATAATGCTGGTGTAATTTTTATAATATCATTAATTTGTCTTTCAAGACTATAACACAAATTTATACAATGTAAATATTTTCTGATTTCAACTGGAAAATTAGAGTTGTATCCCTTCTCTGTGTTAAGAGCAGGTCTAAAAACAAGTAAATCTATGTATCTGATTTTATTTGTTTATATGAGAAAAAATAGTTACAATGTTAGGACATTATACATGCAAGTTGGTGTAGAGTATCCTGACAACAGCCAAGTTAAGTAAACAGTCTAAGTGCCCAAGAAAAGATGAGTGTATAAAAAAAAAAAAAAAAAAAGGATGTGGGCCTTCCCTGGTGGTGGAAAGGGTTAGGGCACAGCATTGCAAGCTGGCCACAGCTGCATAGGTGCAAATTCCATACCCCGCCTGGGAGGTGATCTGCACAGTACTGCAGACCTCTCCTGACCTGCCCGCTGCTCCCCTCAGCAGTGTACTTTGTCATTTGGCCTGTTCTGCTCCCCACTCTGAGTCTGATGAAGCTTTCACCACCCCTGTACCTCTGGCCTGTACTCCAGCTCTGTATGCATAAATAAATATTTAAAATAAAAATACAAATAAATATGTGGAGTATATACACAATGACATACTACTCAGTATTTAAAAATAGAAAATGAACTCTTGTCATCAATAATAATCAATAGATAGAAATGGAGCAGATTATGCTAAAAAGAATAGATCAGCAGGAGAACAATCAATACCAGATGATTTTACTCACATGTTAAATTTAAAGAAATTAAAGAAAGAGAACAAATCCAAGAAATCTGAATGAAAATCAACATTACAAGAAGTGGAATGTGGGAAGGAGAATGCAGAAAGAAGGTTCTGTTGCTTTGTCTGTGTGTAATTAGATATATCTATTGCAAATCAATGATGAAGCTGTCTGCAGCCACTGCAGCAGGAGTTTAATCGCAGGCCCGGGTGGTGACGCACATGTCACAGCAGACCTCTCCTGTCTCATCCGCTGCTCCCCTCAGCAATATATTTCCGTAGATCTGCCTGTTCTGTTCCCCACTGTCTCTGGTGAATCCTCTCACCCAGACACCTCTGGCCCTTACCCCAGATCTTATATGCATAAATGAATAAAGCTTTTTAAAAATATTTTGCAAATCAATGCTACTGTAGTAAATAATATTTAAAATAAGAAATACAAAAATGAAATGCTTTTTGGAAAAATACAGTTTTATTGACACATGATATAAAATTAAAATCATTGGATTGATATGAAAATTTATTCTTTTTCCTTTTCAGTGATTAGAAAATTAATGCAGAATCTAATGCTTAAATAGCACACTGTAATTCAATAAAGCAACACTTTCAGGTCATAATATCCATGTATTAACAAAAATTTGATGTAAATTCATGTAAGTATTTCTGGAAAATTGCAATTTTTCAATGTACACATGCATTATATAGATGTACACATACATGATTAAGATGTCCATCAATATTTTATGCTGCTAAATATGTTTAGCATTGATCAATTTAAAAGTCATCAACAGTTTATTTTATATAACAAATGCATTACGTTAATAATTACATGTATCTTCCTAATCAACTTGAAACTGGTAATAAAGCAAATTAATCTTTAAAAGATGTGAAATGAAAATAAGTGTTTTAATACTTGTAAAGAATTTTGATTTTTTCATATTAGTTCTAAATAATATAAACAGTTATATATGTTGTGACCATGTTACATATTGCAGATATAGCTTTATTAGTACAAAGTGACTACGTAAGTGATATGGATGCAAGGAACAAGCCCATAGGATTTTTAGAATTGCTAAAATATTCTAGGTTGTTCTTCATATTGAATCTTGAATATTTTTAATTCTATCTTCTACGTAACAAAACATTATAACAGAATCTTTCCTCTAGGTTTAATATACAAATAGTTTATAAGGTTGAATTCGATGATTATTCTAAGTGTAAAAGCATAATGATACTGAAGATATTGAGGAAATTCCAAAGTTATATATATTTTTGGTTAAAGGAATTACTCCATGATTATTCACAATTGGGAATACTACAGGTACATCATTTGTTTAAAAGCAAAATCTAATTTTTAGGCAATAAACATGAGCCTATTTCTAAGCAGTATACTATTTTTGAAATACTGTTATTCATTTTAAAAAAGTATTATGCTGAATGAATGCAAGAAAAAGATTTATGCAAGTATACTTGAAAATAAAATAAATATCTAGATGTGTTTAAAGAATAAACAAAGAAGAATTGTAAAGATGAAAACCTAAAGTAGCTTTAGAGAAGCTTAATATAACTTAGTAAGTCTGGTCTTTATGTTTCCTTACATGATGGATATTTATATTACATTTCTTATTTTAACTAAACCTATTAAACTGCCAGTTTTATGTTCAACTGCTTGGGTACTTACATACTATATGGATAATTGTTTCAATTTTTTAATAGAATTTTGTTTTAATGTGAAAGGAATTTAACTGTACCTGAGTCTTTTAAAAGTAAATATGTGATTATTTATGATAGAGATTTGTTATGACCTAAATTTTTGAAGGTTATTGTTTAAGTTCTTGTACTAGCCATGTTTATAGCTAACATAAGCAATATATTGAATCTATAAATAGCTTCCACTAGACGGGCAATGAAAAAATGGTGGTATTTAGAAGTTCCGTTATACTTTGTTGAGCAAAATGACAGTAAATAATAACTAGATTAATGTCAAATTCACTTCACTTCTTTTCAGAACCCTACATTATACTCATCATCATTTGTCAAAGCAACTATTTCTTTTTTAAATACTGTATTGCTTTCAAAATAGGATTAATATTATATCCATTAAGTTTGTAAATTTTAACCACTGGCCTCATGTACTCATTTCTAGAAAAAATATTAACAATGATTATCTGTTTTTCAGATATTGGCTGACCTAGAAAATCATACATTATTTAAGAATGATTTGGAATGTCAAAAGCTCATTCTGGAAGCAATGAAATATCATCTACTGCCTGAAAGAAGAACTTTAATGCAAAGTCCAAGAACTAAGCCTAGAAAATCTACAGTTGGCACTCTGTACGCTGTAGGAGGAATGGATAACAACAAAGGTATACAAATCAATATCTACATATAATATACAATCTGTGCCTTAATATTGCATTCTATATAATATCAATAATCCTCAATGAGTGCTAGCTTTCTCCATTATGATTTAAGATTAAGGAAAATATTTACAGAACACCTATATTTTCAATTTATAATCATGGATTCTGTTTATCATTCATCTTCACACCCTTTATCATTTGTATATATGTACCCGACTTCTGTGAAATGAAAAGGAAATTTAATGTACTGAGAAAACACAGATCAGATTGTTGGTTGGCTACATTATTAACTATATGTCAAATTTAAATTAAGGAATCTAATTGTCAGGAGTATATTTGCTGAGAATAACATGAATAAGAGAGCTGTTTCAGAGAAGTCAGAAAGATCAACACAAAGCAGATAAATAAACCATTACAAATAAACGTAACTGTGGCAAGTAAATTTTACAAATTTAATTGTTTGTACCAATTTTGCCCTTTCCAAGAAAATAAATAATTGGTTTAAAAATCAACACATACATTTGTAGGTATTGCTTTTACTTTTCTATAATTAGTGGAATAATCTCCACAAGTATTTGTTCTTTTCCATCTTTCTAACGTGGCTCTTAAATTTTGAAACAGTATGCATGTAAATGTTATAATTGTCACACATTCGTATTAAATAAGTGAGGTGATGATCCATAACATATTTGGTGTTCATGTAAAATAACACCTGGAAGCATTAGTTTGATCACATTTTCAACAACTATTAAAGGGACTTTGTTATTTCATATTCAGAAGGAAACAGCAAAACATACTTAAATGACTAAAATAGATTTCAAAATAGCAGCTAAATATAAACAGTTTATACCATAAATAGAGAAAACTACATATTCCCTGTTTATTTTGTGGTTTTCTTAGGTCTGCCTAGAAGATTTCCAGGGCTATTAGATGGTGTTCACTAATTTAGTTTTTTGTTGCTGTTGCAACAAAATTCTATTTATCAGAATGTTGATGTCTATTAAGTAGAAAGTTAAATGGGCAATAGGTTTTTAACATATATATATATATGTAACTATAGTTTAATAGGGCAAATAATTTGTCCCTTTAAGAGCTAGCGATATAAGTTAAACTCTGTTTTTCTATTCTTCCCTCCCTCCTTCCATCTATTCTTTGCTTCAATATATGTGATTATATAAGAGGGTATTTCAGGGTTTATTTATAAAGGAAGTTGCTTATAATTTTCTATTTTAAGGAAGTGAGAAAAGAATGATCTTATTAGACATAAATCAGAGCAAAAAGAGTAAGAAATTATATTTATGTGCCAAAGAGCTATTTTGCAAGCCATGAAAACAAACCCACAGATAGCACTTGTTTCATTGAAATTTACTCCACTGCACATCACCGATATTGCATCTTTGGCAACTGAAGGTTGGTGGCATATGCAATTTTACCCTTTATCACATCTTCTTAATCTCTCAGTATTTCCAGCCCTTTCATTATTTTATGTTATGGCTGTCAGTAATCAGTGACTTTTGATGTTTCTATAACCCTGTCCTGCATCACTATGCTATACTTCCCAAGGGACTTCTTAAATAGGACAGTGGCCCCATAGTTCCTTTTGTCTCATGATGTCCTAGCGTTTTCCACCAGCATCAGCACCATGTGTTTACCAGGTCTCCTGACAGCATCACTTTCCTTTGACCTTGATTTAATCTCACAGTCTTGTTCATCATGTTACTTAAGTAAACACAATTCAATGCTTATATGGCAAATAAGACACCACTTCAATTTATTGGCCTGGAAATAGAATTAAAAGTGATTGAGAACTACAAAAGTGAAAAATCTTTATGATTATTGCTTCTGTGTCATGTATCATTCCATCATAGCTATGATCTTGAAGAAGAACAAAGAGATCGAAGATATTAAAGATTGCCTTCACTGAAAATTTAACAAAACAAAACAAAACAAAAAAAAAAAACTTGAGAAGGTGCTAGATCAGAAATGAAGAGACTTCTAATGACCTGAATGGAAGATCAACCACAAAAGTGTCCCCTTTAAGACAACTATTATCACAAATAATAAGTGTCAATTATTACTGCAGCAAAATCTGATTCATAACATTGGAAGTAAAAGCTGGACTCAGTTCTGTTGAATTAAATGATTGGTCTGGGTGATTTAAATGAATCAAAAATTATTATTCGTTACAAAAAATGTTAAAGAGTGATGAATCCACAAATGCTGATGTAAAGCAGCTGATTTTTTTTTTTTGAAATCCTAGATAAAATGATTGTGGAGGAAAATAACTTCCCAGAGAAAATATTCAATATTGATGAAACTTTTTGGGTTTTGAAAATGGATTACTAAATCATTGTCAGCTTTCAAGGCTTTAAAGGACATAATACATTCTTGCTTGGGGACACAAATTAAAACCCTCTGTGCACAGTATTCTGGCACAGTGAGAAGCTCAAGGCTTTCAACAGTATCAAATAAACATATACTTCTTGTAGACTACCACAGCAATAAGTTATAGATTATACAGTTCCTCTTACAAGTTGCTCTCCTGAGTTGTATGGCAAAGAAATAAAAGAGTATGGTACAATGCATAAAATACCTTACATAATCTGGTTATTGTTCATAATGCTCTGGAATATCCTTCTTTTATTATTGGTGACAGTTCTTCCTTCTAACACCATTCTTTTGACCAAACCATAAGTCAAGAAGATATAGTAGTTTTTAAAACCTACTGCCTGGGAAGGAGTCTACTGTCCAGGTTACTGCTGCAACTGAGGAAGACACTGATGCAATTCTGAAGGATTACAATATTCATGACTGCATGAAAAACTTTGCTTAGGCTTGGGATGATATCACCAATGAATATATGCATGACATCTGGAAGAAGATAGTTAGAAATCATCTATCACTTCAAAAGATTTGCCAAAGATAAGCATTTATAGAAATTGACATGTGTATTCCTGAGATATGCCAATCAGTTAGTCAAATGGTGAATGCAAAGAAAAAATTCTTAAAGGAAATTAAATCTTTCTACAGTGAGCATATGAATTCTCACTGCTGAAAAAATTTGCATGGCCTGGAAAGATCAGACCAACGACAATATTTCCTTAAGTCAAAGCTAAGCAAAGCCATATCTTTTGAATTCTATGAAGGCTGTGAAGAGTGAAATAAGAAATTTGAAAACTTTGAAGCTTTAGGAAATAAGCTATTTCCACCAAGATGAAAGTGCCAAGTGAAACAGCAAATGCTGATGAAGAAGCAAGAGCAAGTTATGCAGAAGAACCAGCTGAGATCATAGATGAAGATGGTTATATTGGACAGCAGATTATCAGTGCAGACAAAATAGTATTATATTAGAAGAATGTGCTTTCTAGAACTTTCATGGACAAAAACAAGTCAATGCTTGACTTCAATTCTGTTCACACAATTTTACATCACAATTTGACTCTCTGTTGATGTTTAATACAGATATTGATAAGTTAATGTCAATGCTCTTGAGAATTATGCTAAGTCTACTACTCCTATGATCAATAAATGGGACAAGAAGTCCCTGTTAATGGGACAAGTTCCTATAAGTGGGACAAGAAGAAGAGCACTTCTGTTAACAACATGCTTTATTGAATATGATATGTCCACTACTGAAGCATACTGTTCAGGATAGTTTTGCTAATTTCCATGTACAACTAGTTACCCACAAACTGTCTCATGGAGATATACAGGGAACCTACCAACACAAAATCCAACATGCAGTTTATGAAACAAGGGATACTTCTGATTTCATCTCGTTATTGAAATTTCAAAAGGTAACTGCTGGCATAAAGAGTGATTCTTCTGGTGGTTGTGGGCAAAGTATATAAAAAGCTTCTAGAAAGGTGTTTACAATTGTAGATGGCATTAAGAATATGTGTGATGCATGAGAGGAAATCAAAATAGCAGTATTCATAGAAGTTTGACATAAACTGACTCTAATAATGATAGATGGATTTGAGAGTTTCAAGACTTAATGGAACAAATAAATGCACACATGATAGAAATAGCAAAATAATGAAAATTAGAAGTAGGATCTGAAGATAATGACTGAATTGCTGCAATTTTATTGTAATACTTTAACAATGAGGAGTTGTTTTTTATGAATGAAAAAATATAGTAGTTTTTTTGAGATTGGAATCTAGTCTGGCAAAGATGTATTATACAGCACTGAAATGACGTCAATGGACTTATAAATTAAGTTGATAACGGAGAGGAAGAGAAAGAAAATATTTTCTCTAATTTTGAAAGATATTCTATTGCAAATTACATGAAACAAAATCATTTTTGCAAAAGAAAATGGCCACTGACCTGGAAAACTTCACTGTTGTTTTATTTTAAGATGTTCCTACAGGCAGCACAAGCTTCAACAGCCACAACTCTGCTCAGTCAATAACCATCAACATGGAAACAATGTCATCTACTTGAAGCCTATAACTTGCAGAGGACTCAGCTGATGGACAGCACATTTTTAGCAAATTAATTTTTAATTTTATACATTGTTATATTAGACACAATGATACTACATTCTAAATAAAATCTACTATGGTGTAAACATAAGCTTCATATACACTAGGAAATCAAAAACTTTATCTGATGTTTCATGGTAGTCTGGAAAGGAACCCCTGATGTCTCCCCAGCATGACTGTATTTTTAACCTGAGTCCATATGTTCTGTGTGAGAGTAATAGATAGCAAGTAACATACACCATGTGACATTATTCGCCACCTCTTTAGAGCCAAAGCATGCAAACTTTGTTGTAAACAATGCAACAAGTTAATTTTACTGTAAAAGGAAATACCCTGACTTCAGTGACATTCAGTAAGTACATATAGCCAAGTCTTAGATTTCATAAATTGATAGCAGTTTTAGACATTAATCAATTTTAAGGTCCAGTAAGTTGCATTTTACTTTTAGAAAACATTGTATCTACATATTGTTTATACAAAATCAATTCTATTTGTAAATCTGCATGTAAAACT